TAGCTGAAAAGTACTTAGGAATGTACCATCTACTGATGTGATCATCTAAAGCTTTGTGCTTGGAACGTTTTGACTCTGGTAACACGCATCCACATGTGTACACACACAAATGTAAAATATGAAGTCTGGATATTTACAGTAAATATCTTGGTAAATAAAAATTAAATTAAACACCCCACAACACTGCTATTAGATATGTAAAATTTATATTTAATGATAACTTGTTTGTAAAATGACTATCTTCCTTCTAGGTCTGGAATGTAAGATAATGATTTAATCGTGAAAACTGTGGTATTCATAAATGAATTTTAGTTCCTTTGTGGAAAAGAGTTGAATTACATTCCAAAACTTGCAAATTTGTGTGTTTGGAATTTATTCTGAACTTCTGTGCATCATTTAGATTAAATTAATTGCTATAGTATCACATTTCAATTCACTTTCACATTTTTTATTTTTTTTGCTAACCAGTTGAGAAGTCTGAGAACTTTGTGAGTTCGCAGGGTGAGTGCATTGCTCTTGGCTAGGAAGCAGGGGTTGATCTCTTCCTGCAGTTCATTGGGATTTCAAGGTTTCTTTTCTGCTGACTCTTGCTCCCCATAGAGAAAACACAGATATCCAATTAGTGAGCGTCGACTATCCTAAAAATAAAACAATTGGCCGGATCTGTTGTATGCCTCATATTAGTTCAGGATTACAGAAATGCTGTACAATGCAGCAACTGGTGTTTAGACATTGAACACTACTTTTGTTAAAATATATTTGAATGATAATATCTGTTTCAGTACAGGCTTTTTTGGTGTGAAGGGTAACACACCCCATAGGCATGGAATTGAATACTTCAAAATAAGGCCGTTATCAGAGGGTATCTTCTACAGAGGAGTTAATTGAAGTGGTTGCCATCCCCTCCCACCCTGAAAAAAAAGAGAAAATGTTGGCTATATTTATTGGGTTTTGGTGGGTTATGCATGAAAACGACTAACTCAACTCATCTACGTATTTGTGTTGTTGCTTTGGCTGCTGGTCTGTTCTTTGCTTTGGGCTTACAGCGCTTTAAAATTCAGTATATCGG